AAAAAAGCGAGACAGATTTTGAAATGTCTCTCATGAGAAAACAACCATTTTTCACTGGTTGTTTTAAAACTCAGACTGGAAAAGTGGTGTGTAAAGTAAGGTTATCTTGTGTGTCTGAACACCCAAATGCTGCCTGTAGAAGATTGATTCTCCTATTAGAAATCATTGTGTCTGTTGGGGTATATTTAGTTGATGTGTAGCCTGGATGTCTTGAGGTTTGCATGGACCCATCTCTCATTTTCACTGCTTGCAGCACAACTGGCTGTGGTGCAAATTTATTTGCCAAAAATCTAAGCAGGAGATAAGAAGTTATTCTGATGCTATCATGAATTAAAACCAATAATACTGGTAACTCGAAAGATAAAACATAAATATATTGCACATACATATATATTACAAAATTAGTTCTCAAGAGCACAGAAAACAGAAAAAAAAAAAAAAGAAACTAATTTAATTGCACTCTGCAACTCTAGCTGTAAATTCCCTAGGGTTACCTCTTGGGTCAGGACAGCTACCATACTGTGAGTTCAATAATTCAGGAGAGGAACCATGAACCAGCCTTATTCCCTCAGAATGTGCTTAAAGCCAGCACAAGAATTAGTGTGACAAGCAGAGTCTACTCTGCCCCCCTGCAGCACAGCCAGAGATCCTCCTTCACATCCCACTCAATGTGTGCTGGAACCAGAGAAAATATTTTTGAGAACAATCCAAAATTATGCAGTGTTTTCAAGAGAATCAGAAATGTAAGCAAGGCAGCAGGAGCTTGGAAGAGAAGGGAAGTAGAGATTGTTAGATATTAGTTCACAACTTGTCTGCAAACTCAGAGATGTAGCTGAACAACGCAGCAGAGCACAGGGGTGAGGACACGGCCCCTGAAGAGGAGGTCAGGATTCCCCTTCACACCTTCACCACTGTGATCCTCACCAATCACCAGTCTGTGTCTGAATTTCTCTTCTAAAGGGTGGATAACTGGCCTATCTGGCAGCAGCTGTGCTGAAGGATAATTAATTATTTTTCATAAAATGGTTTGAGCTCCTCCACTCAGGAAGACTGTTAACATCATTGGGCCTTTAAGTAAAGCTTTAACTCTGTCCCAGTGAGGAATGACACCTCTAGTGCTTTGAGACATGATTCAGAAGTCTCTTACCTTTTCATAAAAGAAAGAAAATAACATTTCATTTTATTTAAAGCAGACATGCAGTAGTCAACTATTTTTGAGCATATGTTGTTATTAAGCTTTTTTTCTGGTAATGACACAAAATTCATAAAGCAAAAGTGGAGACAACACTGCGATCAGTCACAGTTAGTGACAGTATGAAACTATTTTGTGTACTCTGCAATCTTCAGGATAATTTTCAGTGGCAAAGAAACAAGTAAAATAATAATACTGCATGCACAAAAAGATATTAGCATGAAAATAATTACTATATAGAAATAAAATTATCAAGCTATTACATATAATGAGAGGGACTAAAGAAGTAAACCTGAAGTTATTTATGCATAATTTTGCTTCAATTTAAATGCAGACTGGTATAGTTACACTGAGTATTAACTTAATGATCACATTTCATCCCCAGTGCACCAGCCAGAAATAGAACAGTGTTGAAAAGCAACAAAAAAATAAAATGCCTATTAAGTCAATAACTGCAAAGAAAACTTAAAAAGAAGCCTGCATTGACACAATGAGAACTGGGAGAATGCATTACACCTGGTGTCAATAGTTTCAGACACATTAATAAGGGATGCTGTGAAGAAGCAGTAATTACAGCAAAAATCCTGCTGCTGTCACTCGGTGTGGGCACTGATGACTGTGAGCGGGAGGAGCTCACTGTGCTCTACAACCATTAGTGGTTTAATTGTAATCTAGGGGGTTTATTATTGTCAACTTTGGAGAAGGTGAGGTGTATCAGTGACACAAAGGGTCTCAAATCTATGCTGTAGGAACCCAAACCTATGTCATTGTTACCCTCATGGTCGCCACATACTGAACCTCTACTCCATGAGGACCTCAAGCAGTGTGCAGGCAACCTGCAGCCTAAAGGCAGGAAAAGCTGAGGGGTGAGTTGCTTATGGAGACATAGCAACTCTGTGGCAGAGCCAGTATAGGACCTGATGGATCAGGGGATCCCCTCAGGACACTGTTTACCCTTTTCTTGCTGTGAATCTGTTGCTCTTGGAAACTATCAGTCACTCAGCCTTGAGGAGTCATCTCAGTCATTCAGCAAGACAACAGCTCCAGCACAGGTTAAAGGTAATAGCCTGGCTACTCTGCCACTTTTTTTTTTCATCTTTGACAAGGATGAACCATCTCAAATGAGACTCTGTGTTTGTTCAACCCATGACTGCTGAGAGCTCTTTAAAGGCCTGCAGCACAGATGAGCTGCACGGCTTCTCTAACGTGGACACCAACCTGGCTGTTCAGCCCACTCAATTACTGTGCTTCAGCTGAAAATTATTTCAAGTCTTTGCACTGAATTGGATTTAAACTGAGCAATTTGAGACCTATTTCTACTCCCTTAAATCGTCCAATAATAAGATAATCTTTGTTAAAAAACTGTTAATGGATAAGTTTTGTTACAAATCCGGGTCAGCACTTTTGGGGCTTTCTCGAAAATGCAGTGAAATTCTCAAAATAATCCTTTTTCACTGAAGTATATTAAATTCTAATGGAGCACACACAGCACAGTAAGTACTCTTAATACTGTTTCATGTATGAAAATCAAGACTTTCAAGATCACTATTAGTTGATGAGACAAAGCGTAAGTAAGCAGGAGGTACGGGTCAGAGATGGATGAAGAGAAAACCATAGTGCAACTCAAAACCAGCACACTTGGTGGAAATTGAAATAGTTGCATAATGCAGAAAAATAAAATCGTTACAGTACAAAATATTCCAGATAAAAAAATGTTCATGTGAAAAGAATCATTATTATTCCTGTAGTTTGTCACTAGCATGTCACCTGGCGGCACAAATGACTGGTCTTGCAGCCAGATCTTTTACTATACCTTTTACTGTTGCTTCAAATGTATTCAGAATTGGGGTTTTTTCCTGTTGGATTTAACCCATCTGGAGCAGGATGCAGTGGCCAATAACTAACTTGTGTAGAAAAAAACCCCTACACCTAATTGCTTATTCCTAATCTAGCCTGCTGCAGCATTCTATTACTGTGAATCCTAACAATTATTAAATTTGGCATGTGTGTAGAACAGCACTTATTCAATGCTTTATGATGGAATTACCATACAAATATAGCTAGTAGCTAAACACAATACAAACAGCTGCAATGTATTTTGTTCCTGGGTTCCCCAGGAGGCAAAAAAATGTGCAATTTAAAATAGCTGGACTGGGGGAAGGGGAAAAGGGCAATACCAGTGTGGAAGTGATCTGATTATCATGGTGCTGAGCACATCCCACCACTCCTGCTGGTTTGACTGCCTGGGCTCAGTTGGTTTGGACATGGTGCAGGTGTCTGGCTTTGAGAAGCCTCAGCAGAGGCTCTTCTCCTTTAGCTCAGAAGCAGATTTACAAGCTGAGTCTGGCCCTCAGCCCCTGTTCCCCCGCTGAGGACCTGAATTTGACTTCTCACTTTACCTTGGGCCTGCCTCGTACTGGGGGTTTGCCTGGAGATCTGGGCTGTGGCTGACCCTGGCGCCTGGCACCAGACCTGCTCTGTTTTCCTTGCTCAGGTCCCCTTGCCAGGGAGGAAACTGTCCTTGCCCTGCCTTTTGTGCCATGACTCAGCACAGGGTTTGTCTGTCAGACCTTCCTGTACCCAACACTGGTCCTCCATGGACAGTGGTTAATGGGAACACTCATGACTGCAGTGAGCCTTGCACAAGGAGGTAATCTTGGAGCCCTGAAATATTGGCTTAAACCAGGCATCATTTTCACCAGACAGCAAGGCACCTAGAAATCCCAGAGCTGTTTTCTTCACATGCTCCATGTCTCAGAGTAAACCCCTGGGCTGGCTGATTCCTCTTACAGCTTGGCTCTGCAACAGGCAGCTGTGAAATCTGGCAGCTCCGGGGAACCCTTGGCAGGAAGGATTTAGAGATGCATACTGAAAGCTGATTAAATGCCAGGATCTCTGGGAATGTCATGGTCATCAAACATCCCTGCTTCTGAACTGTCATTTGGAGAAGGAGAAGGAGGAGACAGGGGACTTTTCTGATTCATGGGGAATTGTGGTGCATCTGTGCTTCCAGTAAAGCTGAGGTACAAAGACCTGGCCACCTCAGCTCCGTGCTGTGCTCTGTAAAGATCACTCATGTTCTGAGATAAGGTGCAGGACTAGAGCAGTCCCTTCACATCTGGGTTCCATTCAGAAGCTCCTCGGTCAAGAGATCAGAATTTCATGTCTGTAGAGAGACACCCTGGTACAACCTGTAGAGAAGTACATCTCTCTGAGAGGATCAAAATTAATTATCCCACACTTAAACTTGCCGTTTGTGGGAGGACAGGAAATCTTGCTTTCACAGTAATGGTTGGAATCACTGTTAAAATCACTGTTGCAGCAACAGCTGCAGTGGAAATATTTTTATTATGCAACTGCAGAGAATAAAAAATACTTTCTACCATCCCTTAGGATGAGATCTGCTTTTTCTGAGATTGCTTATGGAAATAGATTAATTTCTTTTGTAATCAAAATTAAAATCTTCTGATTGTAGGATGTAGTAACAGCATTAGTAAAGCCTAGAAAAGGCACAGGCAACCTAAAAAGATGTATTTATTATGCAGCAAATACACCAATTTTGGAAGATTTTGTTTCAAATTTGCTGTGTTAATTAATCAACCTTTGGAAGAAGTCATGTATGGATACTACAGTTCTTTCTTTTGATCTATTCATTTGCCTCTTTTCATTCAGTATTTGGCCATCTCTCAGAATTCTTTAGTATTCAACACTGAATAGCAAATATAATCTGTTTCTTTAATATATGAAATGTCTTCTTTCAGTTTTCTAATAATAGGCTACCATGACTTTTTTTTTTTTCATTTTGCAGGTGTCACCTATAACTTGCCCTTCCAGGCATGCAGTTATTTCTGCCTTTGAAGGAGAAGAATAAGTTTGAAAATGTCTTCGAAGTTCAGGTTTGGCTTTTCACAAATGTGTTGGTTTTCTCTAAAACTGGCTAACAGCCTGATTAATTTTGTGGAGCTGGGCTGTGATATGAAAGCCTTTAGTCACTGCTGGGGGAAAAAAAGCATGCAAAAAGAAGGAAAAATAGTGAGACAGAACTGACATTCATAATTTTGTTGAATTCAACAGACTTTGAATGAGTCTTTGAACCACCACATGGTAACAAAAAAAACCCACCAGAGATCATTTACCATATCATTTCCTCCCAAGGTCTATTAAATCATCTGATGTGACTGGAGATGGTTCTGTCAGCTGTACTCTGAGTGTAAGAGCACAATTATAATATTGGGATTTATTTTGTCCAGGTCATGAATTTATTTTTTTGTTTAATTATCACAGATTTACAGCCTAGACATCTTAAAACCTGAGTTTCCACTTCAAAAGTGTCTCACTCACTATCTGCCATATGACCTCATTTTAAAATTATGTGAGCAAAGAATATAAAAAGCACTGCGTGCAATTGCCCACTGCACTTCCAGAATCACTGCCCTCTCTGTTCCACATCTAAGAGCCTCTGGTTATAAAAAGATTCTTTTAGTTGCTTATCCTGTATGTTCTTGTTCTTATCTCCAAGCTTTGACCTTTTATTTTTTATTATTTACCTTTGCAAAAAGCCTGTTGGCAGAAGTCTGTTCTTTTCCATGTCAGGCTTTTCTCTATTGTGTCTCACTGAGATTTCTCTTGAAATACAAACGCCAGATTCACAATGTTGAATTTCAACTCCTTCCTCTGACTCTGAAAGTCCTTTTGGTTTCTATGGTATTATACTCAAAGTATGGCACACAATGACTCCTGTCACATCTGCTGTAAGTGCCTGTAATTGCCCACTGCCCAAATAAGATTCTTAGCTGCTTTTCATCTTTTATGCTGCACTTCTGTAGAACAAGTCACATTGCACTGAATAAAGCTGGTTCAAAAACTCAACCTGAAAGAGATCCTGCTTTGAGTTTTCTCATTCAACTACATATTCCCAAGCAGAAACAGACATTCAGTGGGAAAAGTGATTGCTAATTAAGGATGGTCTTCAGTACTTTGCTAACTAGAAGTTTTACAGTTAAATGATGGTTCCAACTTCCTAATTTTCTGCCCTTGCTCCCTATTTAAATACATATACCAGCATAAGTCCATAATGATAAGATCTATAAAGATCCTGCCTCTCCCAAAAAAAGCAGCAATTAAATTGTCTTGTTTGTTATCCTGCAAAATTTATAAGCAGTAATTATTCTTCGCTTTGTTTTTTGTCAGTTTATGACAGTTCCAGTTTCCTAAGTGGGTAATTATGCAACCCTTTAATCTTACACTTCCCCCAGGAAAAAGATCTCTCTAGTCTTAAGAAACTGCTCTGTGCACAGCAGACTTTATTTTGGTTGTAATGATATCCTGAAGAAACAGCTCATCTGGCAATAGCTGTTCATCCTGCTCTGACAATGAAGACCCTGTGAATCAGCACCAGGCTGGAGTTCTTGTAGAGATTTAATGTGATGCATAGGTCTGAATGGGATATTCAGGAAATGTATCTTCAAATCTATACTGCTGTCCTGTATTTGCATTATAAACTCCATTCCTTTTACTTACACTTAAGCTTTCAGATTTCAGCATTCTCCTGACCTGGTGCTGTCAAAATTGGGGCATTCATTTCCTTGTGGTGATGGAGATTTTGGCTAGCCAGGAGGAAAGGACTGTTTATTGTTAAATGATAATTCTGGTGTAAAATTAAGCAGAGGTAAAGAATAAGTTTAGACTGGAAACTAGTAACTACCCAAATCAATAACTTTCTGAAGCAGTCTTTCAAGTAGGATGTTGGAGGAAAGCACCCAAAGCTGTTTTAAATTAAGATAAGAGCATATGGTTCTTTAAAGGGTCTGGCCTCACTTGGTGGTGAAAAAAACCAGCCAGGTCCTGTGAATAAGCCCAGGTATTGTCAGATTGTCTGCAGTGCAGGAGGGTGGACTCAGGAAGCAGAAAAGATTAATTTGGCATTATCTGAGGCTTTACTCATTAAGGTAGGATTTAACTTTTTGAGGTCCAGTGTCCTCTGCAGTCAGATACTGCCCATATAAAGACTCCAGACTCCTCCCTGTAGGAAGTCACAAGGATCCATCCCATCAAATTAAACTGTCACTTCAATATCTCTGCTCTCATATTCTTCCATCTGGATCTGAGGGTGACTGTGTGTGCAAGGAACTGACTCAGTACTTTGGGACAATTTGCTACCTAATTATCTGTAACTAGAACCATTTCTAGCTGTAAATCTGTGTATGATTTGGTGGGTTTGTAGCAATATCAGTACAATTTACATGTAGGTGTTCTATACTCCTGAGAGTTCTACTAGCTTTCTCTATTTTTATATGTCTTTGATTTGCGACTCTTGATACCCTGAATTGTCCCCTAACCAGTCAATTTTAGGGGGAGAGGGAGGACTTGTCCTCAGTAGTACCCTCCCTGTCAGCAGTTTAAAAGCTAATACAAACCATATTTACAGATCAGGAAACAGGATTTCAGCACTCACAGCAATAAATGACCAAGTCAGAACTTAATATTGAACTAAACGTTTCTTTGAAAATATAAGATAAAAATAACTTCCTATGAAAATCTTCTCATAAACAGTGAAATAAAACCCCCAGGCCTGATTTCATTATGCCATAATATTGTCAAAAATATAGATTTTTTTAGTGTGAATGAAATTTGCAGGAAGTGCTCCTGATGTAAATAAATTCAGGGTATGCAGAAGTATGTCCACTAAGATAAATTACCCTAATAACACTTACAGGTTGGGTCTTGAAAACCCTCAGGGGCTTTGATGCTCCAATTACAGGGCTCGACCTTGCATCTTTGAAGTTGATTCCAAGACTCTGAGTAGGCAATTTGCATGCCCGGGCCAATTTCCATCAAAGTCCCTGATAACGAGGTTGCACACAGCTCTTCAGCTGGTTAGAGGGCAAATGCATAAAAATGAGGAAAACAGAACCATGAAAACAGCAAAGGGAGCTGGAATTAATGTCTTTTTATAAAATCCTTTTTAAACTCAAGTTCTATTGAATTAAGAAACCCCAGGGACGTTATTCATGGATTCACACGTGATCCTCCACTCAGCTGAAACCGAATCCTCTGTTTTAATATCAACTGCATCTCTGAATTGAGGCAGTTTTCAAATATGCAGATTCCAAATTTGGCAGGTTTAACATTTTTGTTATGGTGGCAGCAATAAGGTCACAACAGCTCACACCTTCTGCTGCAAGCTGGCCTGCAAGTGACTGCTCAGTAGCCATCTCAGTATCATCTCAGCGCAGTTCCCATCACGCATCAGACATAAAAATCTAGCAACACGGTGTCTTTACTGGTGCCTCAGATATACTGACAGAGCGCAAAAAGGATTTGCTCACTTACAGACATTTTTCAAAGCAATTACAGCACACTGGAAGGGCATCACCATGATTGGTGTGACCATTTCAGGCTTCAGTTTTCAGCATCCCCAGTGCCCAAACTGAGCCACTAACTCTCCTCAACACTAGTACAGTTCATTTGCAAAACAGCCTGTGGTACCTCACCCAACCATTTCTGTCGTGTATAAAGAAGGATTAAGTGGGTTTGAGTGGGATTTAAAGAAAAGCTGTCCATATAATTAGGTCTGCAGAGAATTATGACAGACTTAACAAAGTACTATAATTGAATTGTGCAGGAACGTTTTCCAGACTTCCTACTGTTATTTCCAATTTTAAATAAACTCTAGTTTGGGTATCAGTACCACATTCCTTGTTGTCAGATGCTCTGACAACAGGATTTTTCACACATTTGGCTGGTGACTTTAGGTGAGGCGTGAAAGCAATTTCTCCCAGACCACATTACATGTCAGTCTGAAACTAAGCAACCTAATTTGTCTTGCTGTAGCTGAAATAACAGAGTGACATTTTTCCACCTCTTTTTAGGAGATGTACCACCATGCATTTCATATCAGTGATTCTCCTGCTGACCTAACCAGATGGAAGGGTGCCCTCATTATCCCAGCAGGTCTAAAACCAGAAGCTTCTCCTAATATTCTGTTCTTCTGGTTTCTCTTCTCTCTCCCCCTACACACAGATAAACAAATAAATTAATCTCTCCATATGAGACAAATTAGCTGATTTTTCATGGTACTGTTTCAGCACTCAAGTAAGTGCTGCTTGCAGAAAAAACAGCGATTCATTTGTCTGTGAACATCCAGTCCCTACTACTGTCCAGCCTGCCTCTGCCTGACGTGGATTTTGGGAGGCAGCTTTGCTGCAGAGCTGAGTTTTCTCTGAGCCTGAGAACAGGGGCAGCAGCCCAAGGGCACTGCATCCAGCTGTGCTTCTGCTTCCTCCTGGCTCCGGAGAAGTAAATTGCTGTCCATCTTTCCATTTCAACGTGTACCTGCCAAATCCCTCCAAGGGGCAGAATAATGGCCGTGCCAGTTCCTCAGCCCTCCTCACCTGCCTGTTTTAGGGAAGATATAGGCCCCTATTTTGTTATGCTTTATTCATAAGCAGCTTAGACTTTAGGTTACCTTCTTGAACAAGCAGCTTTTCTTATCACAGTCATAGCTATACAACATATCACAGACTTAGAGAAGATTTTCTTAATTGCATACCCAGCCTGGAATGTGTCCCATTTAAAATGGTGCCCAGAGAAATTCTCAGTACCAAGGTTAAATGTGACCTCATACCCTCATATTTCATATGTGAACTCTCCCTGTTAGGCAAAAATCAACGTGTGTGATACAAATACTTGGTGCAAAGTTGGAGGTCTCCAACATGAGAAGTCAGCTTTCTTATGAGGCAGGTGTTAGAAAAAATTAATTTTGTTTCATCTGAGACAAGAATTTCATCTTGATGCATCTCCACATTACAGAGTTTAAGGTCAAGACTTTTGACATATGCTGAACATATACTTTACCAAGAATTAGCCACCACAAAACCAACAGATCAGACTCCTGTGTTTCTTGAGTGGAAATTCTCTATTTATGAATTAAACATAAGCCTAAAAAGAGCTGGAAACATATTTGTCATTCAGTGAAATATTGGGATGCCACCAGCATGAAATCTGTTGTTTTTAAAAAATGAATTAAGCTAAATTGCTTCCTTTTTTCTTTCTCTTTCCCCCTCAGGTAATCTTTCCTATTCAATTCTCTGGCTTTGCAATGAGATTTTCCTATTTCATTAGGTGTTTATATCTCTCCTGTTGCTATATGAAAACTTGCAAGCAGCAAAGAAAATAATATTGACTCTATTCAGGAATTGTTTTCAGATTGACTGAATAGACAAAACACACTCACTACAACCTCTCTCAGACTACTGCTCATAAAGTAAATTCTACAGGACTAAGTAAGGAATTAACCTTTTGTTTGCAATTTGAAGATCTGTTTACAAATTTTCATTTTTAGTGGGAGTTTATTTGTAAAATGAAAAATATAAGTTCCTTTTAATTATTCCTCAGAAGTCACTAAGCAATGCAGTAAACAGTTCATGCTATTTTATTTGCATCTGTTTGCACGTTTTTCAGCTCATTTGCAATATTGATTCATTTAGAAAGATGCACATCTCAAAACAACCATCTCCCATCCTGCCTGTTTCTTTATTTGAGTCACAAACACCCATCTTATCCCACCTAGCATCTGAGAGTGCCCTGGTTTTGCCCACAAAAATGTCATCACTATCCAGCCTTCTTGGAGAGCAAACAGAAAACTCCCTACTGTTAGCAGAAGAGAACTTTCCATAGTATCTAAAAACTGAAGAGAACCCTGATCATTTGCTCTAGTAGATGTAAAATGGTTTCTAGCTGGGATATTTTGCTTTTCTAGCACTCCAGAATAAGGAAGCCTGGGGAAATTATTAAAAGGATATTCCATGAGAAGGGATCCTGTTCCCTACTCCTTGTATATTTTACTCCTGCATGGCCTCCTTATAAACACACAAATGATTTGACTTCTAAGAAATGTCTCCCTTGTGCAGACTGAATGCAAACATGCTACAAGGACAATATTTTCTTTGGTGTAAATAACCTATATACATGGAGGACTCACAGAGGGAGACAGTGTTTTCTTGTTTACAACACAGTGCTGTAACACCTTCCAGCATGAAAATAGTTACATTAGATTTACTTTGTTGTGGCTAACCACATAGTTTTAAAACAATAAAATTAAGTGCTATGATTTTGTTCACTACAAGAATTTTTTACAATGGTATTTTATATCCAGACTATTCTACATA